CAGGGCACCAGAGAAAAAATGCTCATCAGTCCAGTAGCCATGAAAATATTTGTAGAAAAAAAACAGAGGGAAGCCACATCATGTCTGTGAGAAAGTTTACTGAAGTCAAGAAGCTAATTCAGTACCGATTACATTACAGATCCTACTTTAGATTTTTTGAGAATATTGCAGTAAGTGAAATGTTTTCTTTGTAAATTTTATGGATAAAACTTTAACTGTGCAACCAGTAATAAAAATCACAGAAATGCAATCTATGTTGTTATTCATTTAAACATCATCATCATCATTTAATAGTAATAAAAAATATATATATATATATATATATATATATATATATATATATATATATATATTTAAAGTAATAATAATAGTAATAAAAGTAATAGATAGATAGATACACACATATACAATACACACATACATATATATAAACTTACATAGTTACAAACCTAATATATAATTTTTCAGTGTTTGATGCAAAATAAATGTTTATTTTTAAGACTATATAAACTTATTTTTATGATAACAGTTAAGTATAATTTCATTTCTCTGGTTCAATAACTGGCTTGTATTTTTGTACTTAATTATTTTAATTTTTTCTTCCAGGCATAGTTTGCATCTGTTTTTATTTATATATATACTACATATATATGAATTAAGATCAAATATAGATAGGAATGCAAGAGAATGATAGGATAAGGGACAAATAGAAAATCTTTATAAATCTGACATGCTTTGCTTCTATTAACACTTGAGATGTGGAGGTTTATTTTCCACGAGGATCGGCCAGAAGGTGAGAGGGGGACATTTCCTTCTACCCTGGAGTTACTTGGTGGAAGAAATCGGTTATATTTATATCGGCTGCAGTTAACATCGTTTGCAGTTGGCAATATCTTTTGGTTGATGACTAAAATTAACTTCCGATTTTGACTGTACATGGGTTTCATTTGGACACCATGTGTTTTAAAGTAGTTTCTGGTTATTATTTTTAGTTAGGAGGATTTGTGTATGTTTATGTTTCATTTGTTTTACTTTTTGTGTATCGTTCTCTGAAAAAATACGCTGAGTCACCGGAAGTTAACGGCATTCGGACGTTTGAGTAGCTGGCAGTAACTTCTGGCCGGGTGTGATACCCCTTACCCGTGCTTTCAAATTGATTTTGTGCAAAAACAATTGTGTTTTTCCAATTTTTGGCGCTGTCAGAACCACTGCCGGGTAATTTTACGTAGTCCTGTGAAGTTTTGTTGAAATCGGTTGAAAAATGTAGGAAATATGATCCCATATATAAATGAACAGACACACACAGACAATCTGCGTTTTATAATAAGTAAGATGTTCTGTTTTTTGATAGAATTATTGTTTTTGTTTTTAATGTACACAATGAGAATTCAATGCTTCTCACAACACCTTTTGAATAATTTAAAACTTTGTGTTGATAGACCTTTATCTTTATATCATGAAATTTGGTCATACTTAGTAGACATTCAGCATCAAGTTTTTCTTTTACTTCTATCAGTAGCATATTATTTCTAGTTTGTTTAACTGTTTTTGGAGTTATCTGAGATGCTAAGATTTTTCCTATTACAAAATGTGACAACTTTGTTTTTAGTTTGTCTTTTGTTGGTTCTATTTTACTTTTTCTTTTTTTTTTGGTATCACCCCAAGCAAGGCAGAACAGCCACTAACACGGGGTTACAGTCTGTGGAGGAAATATTCGTAAGGAGTAGAAAGAGAAAAGAGCAATCAGGAGGACAGTAGATAGCAATTGAGATTGCATTTAAATTTTTGCAGATTAAAGTTGTCCGGAAAACATGGAGCCGGAAGAGAGTTCCACAAACAAGAAGTGTGAGAAAAGAAACTGTCAGTATAGAAGTTACAGCTACATCTAGCTAGGTCAACTGTAAATTGATGAGATCTCACTGCCAGTCTAATATTGCACCTAAATTCATACAGTCTAGGTACTATAGAGAAGAGCTTATCTGAACAATTACCATGAAAGTATTTTTTTTTTAAATCCACAGAGAGGCAACCGTACACCAGCATGAACGAATGGTAAACTTAATAGATATGCAAGATAGATCTGGAGAGAAAAATTGTCTCACCTGGCACAGTGAACCAACTTTCTTAGCAGTTGACCTATAGTCAATATAGTCTTTCCATTTCATGTCAGCTGAGAACAAGTCACTTTCCTGGTGGATAGCATCAGCCATGCTAATGGAAGGCAGACAGGGTTCCCTTAGATGATTAATGGAGAGAAGTTTAGTTTTGCAGGCATTAAAATTAACAAGCCATCTTTTGCACCAGTTAACGATGATCTTGAGATCATTTTGGACATCAGCTACCATTTTGATCTTGTCAGACTGATCAGCGTTACTATTGAGGCAGGAGTAAATGGTAGTGTTGAGAGCTGAAGGTCATTAATGAAGATTAAAAACAACATAGGACCAAGGATGGAGCCCTGGGAAACACCTGATTTAGTATGAAGGGATGCAGATAAGCAGCCATTCAGGATATCTTAATGAATTTCAAAAATTTCTTTGATTTTCTGTGTCACTTTCTGTGTCTGTATCAATGTGTAGTCTCTTGGTTTTAATTTTGCTCATATTTTGTTTATTATTATTATTCATCAGCCATGCTCCCCACCCACCTTGGAGCCCCATGTGGGGAAGATGGAGAAAATCTCATTCACCTCATTCCTCCAGGGCTACATGACTGGTATACTCAAATGTGGGGAGGGTTCAAAGCACCTGTTATATCAGAGATCCTCCACCCAAGTATGGCCTTTCCTCAGAAGTTGAAACATCCATGTAAGATTCCTTTGTTCCCAGTCTGATTGACACTACAGCCACCATTTACTAAGTCAGTTTAATGTTTGATATGGCAAATGTGAGTGCATTTTGTTTGTTTTGTTAGTCTGACCTAGAGGTTGACATGACCAGCCAATTGATTGGATTGGACCTCTCCAACTGCCTGTCTAACTCAAGTAAGGGCCAAAGTGGTGTGTTGGAGTTTAGGAATAAATGTATAGCCCAACTCCTAAAACCCTCAACCACCAGGATCTTGTCCTCAAGCATCATAGGTTGCCACCAACAACAAACAGGTGCCCACCCACCCGGGGAGCTTTTACCCCCTGCAGAGGTGTAATCAGCATATTCTGAAGCCCTGCCGACAGGGTGGAAAAATTATAGTAGACTATATATTATCCTTTCAATATGATAAACAGTTCAGAAATTTTACCAGGTTTTTGATGTTTCACATTAATAACCAGGTTATCCAGATATACATTAGTTTCCTTTGTTAAATTTGATGGATCACCGTTATGGACAAAAAGCATCTTTCTGAAAGTATTTTGATTCTTCTTGAACCATTGTTCTACATGTGCCTTAAAAAGTAAAACAACAAAAATCAATGTATATCTGAGCTGTCATCTTAACACCATTCGAAACTCAACATAGAAACACCACTTGATCACTTATAATGTAACCCCAAAACATTACACCTTGCCAACCTTGACATCTCAACCTGTGAGGATGGTTTTTGCCAATAACTACCCTTCATTTATTCCAGCTGTTTGACCCATGAAGTGTAGTGCAACATTCATCAATGTAAAGACTGTTTGAAAAATATATCTTCATGTATTCTTTTGTCTATTTCATTCAATTTTCTTGATGGATCTCTTTTAAAGGAGGTCTAGTGATTGATCACTTGATTTGGGACCAAAATATATTGTGCATTTTGACATTCTCTGTCTGTTTTAAAGAATTTTTTTAATGACTTTTCTCTTTGATATAGGGCAGATTGGTGAGAGTAAGTTCTCAACTGCCCATTATCAGATTTGTGTTGGAGTCATCTAGGATATTCAAATTTCTCCATAGTTTTGTGATATCTGTCAATTATTTCTGATATTTCAGCATTGTTTTACTTTTTGCAACCTCTAAAGTTATGAAACATTTTTTTATATGTTTTTATCAGCTTTATGACTCTTTTTAAAGCTTTAAACTCACTGCGTATCTATTTTAACTTCAAGGCATTTCATACAAACTGTTGATGTTTGTTTACATTATTGCAAAACAAATTGGCTTTCCCCCTAACTGTACAGATGTTGCTATCATCAATCAGGAAATAAATCATCAGATTCCAATAAATATATATTGATAAAACAAAGTGGCCAATAATGTCAGATGCAATGTGTGTATGCATATATATAATGTGAACAAAAAATAATAACTGCATTCCACTTACATGATCAAAATGAATAGGACATTTCATAACATTAAATGCAGTAATACAAAAAACTTAATACATGTTTTTATGCATAAAATACTAAAGATGTGTTTAAAGGCAAGCTAAAATTCTCAAGCAAGCTTTCAAAAAAAGAGTCTAATAAAAATAATAATTTAAAATGCTTCAACTTTTTTAAAATATTCTTTTTTAATCACATTTTTTAATATCATATATGCAAATTCAAATCTACTAAGATAAAGGAGATTTTAAATCCACTACTAGGCTGTTGCTAGACAGATACGAAAAAAAAAAACAGTTTACTAAGGAAACTGTACACACAATCTTGTTTGGGTTTTTCAAAAATTACTCTATCAAAGTTAACAGATCATCCATGAGGATACTTCTTTGGAAAACTTCATCTTTCCTAAAACTTATTTAAGGAATGTATGCACTGATTTCATCAGACAGGTTTCAGATTTTTGTTTATTCAAACTTTACAATTCAAAATCTTAACCCATAAATTTTGACCACATTTAAGTTTTTGTTTAAATTGTTTTATATCAAATAATACTTACACACGTGTGTTGAAAAACACTTTAGGGAAAAATAAACAAAAACAAGTATATACTGAAGATTCCAAACTGTAGTAACTGATCAAAGAAATTTTCAATTAAGCATTTATAAAACCATAAACAAATCATAAACAATGTGGAAAATTAAAGTAAACTCAAACATTCAACAAGAACAAAAAAGTGAAAACTTTCAATTTAACTTACTTCAGTAATTCCAAAATTGAAATGACAATATCATTCACATAACAAAACCCAGAGGCCTGAAAAAGAAAAGGCAGCTTAATAGAATACTTTTATTATACGGATAAAAAATTAATACAAATTATTCCTTACAACTCATTGTGATTCAAAATCATATATGCTGACCAGAGTTGAAAATCACATACTAAGCAAAGTCACATCATCTTTATTGAACAGTTATATGCCCAAGGAATAATAAATAACTATGAAAAGCCATAGATATCATATTAACAAAACACTTTGACTATTTGCAAAGTTATCTACATTTTAACCATAATACAATGAAAGAAAGAAAAAAAAATGAAACAAACATGAAGGCTGCACAAGACAAATGCTTAATGCATAGTATTTTATTCAATTAAAATGGCACTACTTATGTGAGTGGTTATTGAAACTTGAAAGACAAGGGACTTACAGCGAGTGCAACTGAAAGAGGCCATATACTAGTCACCTAAAGTAAGCTTTAAGTAAATACAGAAAGCTACATCATTACACACACACACACACACACATGGAAAGACAAATCAACCTTTCTTTTTCTACAATTTTACTTTCTCTATTCAGTGTTTTACAATAAGGTATTCCTTGTCTCAGAGAATATAACCAGAGTTGCAATATTTTTTATAAACTATGTCCACATTTTAATTCCAGGAGAGGTAAAGACACACCATAGTCATCTTCTCTGTACCATTACCCACAGAAGTCATTCAAAGTTTTCAAGATAAGGCATTTCTTACAGCATAGATATCCTGGAAACCCTTGACCAGAGACTACAAATTACCTTCTGATTTTCAATACGGCACAAACACAATTTTAAAAATACACAAGAGAATATTATACCTTGATAACACTAAATAATTTTAAAAAATTTTAAAAGTATAAATATTTTGAAAATGCTTGGCCACAATGTTATATGTACTTTCTGTTTACAAAGAAATGTTCCTTTTCACTGTAAATAAATTATATTAACAATCAATGCTTAAAATAAAAAAGAGTGAAAAATGAAGAAATTACAAATGAAATATACATATATGCATAAGGCTTCTTTGTTCCAAAACATTCTTCTTGAATGAAGACTGATTTGAACATTCAACATTATTTTTTTTTTACACTTACCTCAAACTTTTTTGCATGATGTAAACCACCAGACCAATTAATAGCAATATCACAGTGCTACAAAAGAAATCATGATCCTTGTAAGAGCTAACTAAAATTATTAAGAAAATATACTATTTTGACAAAAAAGTAAAATAAATTATATCCTTCAAATTAATATAGAAATCTTTATGAATATTTCTAAAATTTTCTTTGGGTTAAGAAAAATGTATACCAATATCTATAAAACCATTTATATACCTGAAAATTATCTTAGAACAATGTCATGAGAAAGCACATTGGTTAAAACATCAAACTAGAAGTTTTTTGGACAATCTATTACATAAGGACAGCCATTTCTTTATTCTTTCAGCAAAAAGTCAGTCAACAGAAGTTGATCACTCTGAGCTTAAAATATTATTCACATTAAATGTTATTCAATGTGGATTCTGAAGCTTAACATCATACAAGTAACATTTTAATCTTCAAGCATGTTTTTTATTTGTTATTGACTTAAAATAGATCAATAGATCCTGTTATACTAAGTGGACAGATTCTAAGGTGTCTCCCTCAAGCATAAAATTGAATGGAATAAATGATAATCATTCAGAGTCTGTCTATATTTCTGAGATGAGGTATTATGTACATTATTTACATTATTCGGACTATTGTCCTTTTAACATCTTAATTTCACTCTCTGGTATAATATACTAGCAGTAGAGCCCAGCGTTGCCCGGGGATGTAACAGTAAGAGATAGATCAAGTATTGACCATCATAAAGACTGAAAAATAAAATTGACAAAGATTATTGTTTAAGGTTGGATTTGACACATGTCTTAATTAGTTTTTTTTTTTTTTTACGAATTGGTCAAACCCAAACTCAAACAAAAACATTGTTTTCAATCGTTATAAGTCTACCGATTGAATAGAATTTTATTATAAACAATTGTCTTGTAAATGGAATTTTTTAAAGCATTCTGAATGTAAAAAATAAAAAAAAAAAAGTGTGCAAGACAATAAGAAACACTAACTGCCAAAAAAAAAAAAAGTGAAGTTTTGTTGAAATCAGTTGAAAAAATGTAGGAAATCTGATCCCATATATAAACGAACACATACACACACAAACACACACAAACAACCAACCTGGGTTTTATAATAAGTATAACTTCGATATTAATAAAGTATAACTTGATATGAGGTGTCCCCCTTTCATTAATGCCTCTTCAAATTGATTTCGTGCAAAACAATTGTGTTTTTCCAATTTTTTGCGATGTCGAAACCACATAAAAAAATTTTTGAATAGTCCTGTGAAGTTTTGTTGAAATCGGTTGAAAAATGTAGGAAATCCGATCCAATATATAAACGTACAGACACACACACACACACACACACACACACACACACACACAATCTGCGTTTTATAATAAGTAAGATAATGATTATCATTATTTACATTATTCGGACTATTGGCCTCATCTTTGTCGCCATATTCATCACAACGTTATTTTTTTATAAACTGCGCTCAGACCTTCTTCAGGTGGTTGGAATGTTGAACTGAACCCTTTATTTAAGATCACTGGGGTAGACTGTTTCTAGTTCCACGTGCCAGAGTATGAATGTGTCATCTTCGTAAATTAACCATATAGTTGGCTTTAGAGATATAGATTCTAATGCCATTTCATCAAAAGTATTCCATGTATATATTAAAATCTTCATTGCTGGTGGTAATGGCGGAATCCCATTTGCTAAGCCCTCATCCTGTCGATATATGTGTAATCCCATTCTGAAATGTGTTGTTTGTGTACAGAAAGTCAACATCTCCATCAGATTATCTATTGGAATACTGATCCGTTCTTTTAGGGAAGAGTCAGAGGTCAATCTGTCTCTGACTACTGAGAGTGCCTCCTCCGTGGGTACCTTGGTAAACAAAATCACCACGTCCAAGCTCACCATCTGGTTGGATAGGATGGGAGCATCTTTGATTATTTCCATGAAGAAGTTAAACGGAGTTTGAGGACATATGAAGGAGACTTTCCAATCAATGGGTCAATTATATCTACAAGGAAGGCGACAGAGGGTGGCACACAGAGCCTTGGCAACTAACAATCGGCCTGAGCGGAATACCGTCTTTGTGAATCTTAGGGAGACCAGATGAGGGCTTAGCAATGGGCTTCTTCTATTATCACCAACAATGACAAATATATACATGGAATACTTTGAGGAAATGGCATTAGAATCTATATCTCTAAAGCCAACTATATGGGTTAAGGTACGTAGATGACACCTTCATACTCTGGCCACACCAGGAAGATGTTCAGGTTCTACTGGACCATGTGAACTCAATAAGACCTTCATTACAGTTCACAATGGAGAAAAAAAAGTAACAACACACTCCCATTCCTGGATGTTCTAATATCTTGAACAGAGCATGGATTTAAGACATCCGTATACCGTAAACCGAAATTCACCGGACAGTACCTCAATTTCAACTCCCACTATCCATACAGCGTAAAGAAAGGGATCGTCCATTGCCTACAACACCAAGTAAAAGTCATAAGTGGCGACCCAGAGACATTAGATAAAGAATTGGTCAGAATAAGTAGTACACTACGTAGCAACTACCCTGGGTACATGGCAGCAGCCCCCAAAAACTGAGATAGGTTGGAACAAGAGGAGGAGGATAACAGCACTCAAAAAACAGTCTGCCTGCCTTATGTGAAGGGGTTATCAGAGAAAATACAAAGGAACTGCGGTCCATATAACATCAGGACAACCTTCAAAAGCTTGACGACACTTTGCAGATATCTCTCCCGAGTAAGACCCCTCTATGGGGGCATAGAGGAGAACATGACTAAAGACTGTGTGTATGCTATCCTGTGCAGCTGCGGAAAGGAATATAAAGGAGAAACAGGCCGCCCCCTCCAGGTCAGGCTTCAAGAACACCAGAAAGCTGTAACACGAGGGAAAGTGGAAAAATCAGGCATGGCTGACCACATATGGAGAGAGAAGGGAGATCACTGCCCTCTGTGGGATCAAGTTGAGATCATAGACAAGGAACACCATTGGAAAATTCGTAAACTTAAGGAATCAGCACATATGCTAGGCCACAAAAATCTCCTGAGCCGACCAAGCATAGAAATAAATACAATATTAATAAGGAGTGCCAGAGAAAAGCTAGGATAACAACAGAGTTGCAATATGAGCTCTGGTAAAAACATGCAATGATAACAGCAAAATTGCTGGTAAAAATGGTTGCTGAAGACATTTTCTTTATAATACCCAGAAATTCATATCCTCAAGGACACATGGCACAGTGGATAAAGGCATTGGTTAAATCCAGTGACAGGACCCAAAGAGTGTGAGTTCAATACCCGGTTAAGGCAGTGGAGAACTTTCAGAGGGAAATTAACAGGAGTTAACTGATAACTGACATCCATCAAACATGGCACATGGAACTAGAACAGTCTACCCTAAGGTAAATAAAGGGTTCAGTTCAACATTCCAACCACCTGAAGAAGGCCGGAGCATACAACAGCCAAAACATTGTAATGAATATGGCAACAAAGATGAGGACAATAGTCCGAATAATGTAAATAATGATAATCATTATATATTATAGCAGAGAGTGAAATTAAGATGTTAAAAGGTCATCAAAGCAAACAGTTTATCCAATTTTAATAACTGTAAAAAAAAAAGTAAAAAAAAAAATTAGAACATTTTACTTACATTGTTGTTTAATTTGACTGCTGCTTCTAATGACGCCCCAGTGTACATTGAACAGAAATCAAATAGTCCATCAAACACTGGACTAAAATTGAAATATGAAAATAGTTGATAAATTTATTACATATTCAATTCAGTGAAAAAAGATCAAAGAAAATATTTAATACAAAATTATTTAAATAAAAAGTAAGCATATATATTATATTTAACAAATTATGCATAAATAGGGAATATGATGTTAAATAAGCAAATATAAGATGTTTAAAAAGGTTTTGAGAAAAGTAAAATACTTTTGGCCAGGTTGAAGTTCCACCTTTGATAACTCCATATAAAACTTGAAAATTAAATACATATTTTCAAAAAGATTTTTTTACTATCTTAATTACTTTCTTCATACAAATCAAAGCTCTGAAAAAAAAAAAAAAAAAATATTTACATAATTTTGCAATCATTTAAGACCTGAACAAATTATGCCAATTATTGTCATCAGAATTTTCTAGTTTATGTCAAATATTTCTATCCCAAAATCTTCAATGTAAAAATAAAATGCTGGATGTGAATTCTCATGCAGGGGCTTTCTTTTGGTTTTGCTCAACAATTATATAGTAATTTTTTGTATCTGTGGGAGCTTTTATAGTAGCTCATTTATTGGAATTTGTGACCACTGAAAGGCTGATTTTAAGATTACTGTTGATTTAAAATCACTTCATCAATTTGTCAGATATTGAATCAGCAGTCTTGTTTCATAATGGAAAGACCTCAGGTAACTCTTGGTCAGTAGGCCAAAGTGATGATTCTTCTTGAGAGGAAAGTGATGCTATTCTCAATGCTTGGCAATGATGTAAAATGAATTACAAACCCACTAATAATGATCCTGTCTTTCCACACTTTCAATTTAACAGTGATTCAGGTATGAAAAGTGATATCAGTGAAGAAAAACTGTCATAGTTATAAAGAAACTAACAAATTTTCCACCTATGTGTTTCTTTTTGCATTAAAAATTCAAGGAATTATGGGTGAGATGTATCAAAATGATCCAGTGCATTTTCTGCATAATTTTTCCATTACCATATATACTCACATATGCAACATTTGAAGACCTAATTTTGAAGCTAATTTTAAGGTGGTCACATCATACATGAGATATAAAATTAGTGTATGTACTGCTGGCCCTGGCTGTTGTTGACCAAACTATATAGCTATTTACTGCAGTCAAAAAGTACAGCTGTATTTAAAATTAACATGATTTTGATAAAACTGAAGTTTTACTTAACTGTATTCAATAATAATGCATGTAATATTCCCATATTAGTATCATATAAAATACAACATACCAAATATGCATCCTTTTCCATTGTTTACATTTATAAGATATTTAGCTGTTTCTCGTCCAGTTGTTTATGGCTGTACACATTTACGCAATGAGTATAGTGTTACTAATGATACTTTTATCATTCTCTTTTACTTTTTTAATTAGAAGATAGGATAAAGAGATAGAGGGAAAGAGGTTAGTCTATTGTAATTTGGTCTCTCAAAAAAGAAACATACGAAATACATGATAAAATCATTTTTATAAGTGAAAATTTGGGGCTCACACATTAAACAAGTATATACGGTATATTCATAAATAAAAATATTTCAAAATTGCAACAATTTTTTAAAAATAAAAACCTCCTTTGTTAACTGTAAACAAAGTGAATACATTCATTATTTTTTATGTGTACTAATTATATGAAGTTGGTTTATGTGAAAATCTCCACAAGTCTGGAGTATGTTTCTTTGAGAGAATATTTGCAGACAAACATTTTAAAACCAAAAGCAATTCAGCTCATTAAACATTACAAAATCTGACTAAATATTTTAACACACAGCTGTAAATAATAAATATATTAATAAAGTAATTACATTTTAAAATATAAAATGCTATATATTTTAACGAAATGACTTATTTTTTTACAGGCATTTATACTTTTTACAGTATGATAAATGCATAGATAATGGAAACCATTCAAACCTTTTTAACCCATTAATTCTCACCATCCAAAAATGGGATGGTAGGTTATAGGTAGAAACCTAGAATACTGAATTTTTTTTATGAACCTATAATACCGGATTTTGATTTTAAATTTTATAACTAATGCTGACATTTACAGTGGGCATTAATAATGCATGAAACTGTTCTTCATTGACATTACCAATCCATTTGCAAGTAACTAACTTCTATTTGATTTCTTTGTACTTACAAGTTTGCCATCACTACATTTATATCAGTTTAAAATCATTTCAATGTAACAAAATATTGTATAATAGTTACAGCATAAAAATTACAACACTATAAATCAAACTAATTTACCAAAGAATATAACCATTATCTTACCAATCATCACCGACGTTGTAAGCACTAAGGCTCTTTGTAAAATTTTGTACATTCTGTGGGGTAACATTCTGTAAGAAGCTAATGTATTCCTCTGAGTGAAATCTACACATGTCATGTGCTGATGCTCGATAAGGTCGATACACCTTAAATAAAAATAAACCAAATGAAAGTATGAAAAAGTGAGGTAATAACAAAATAAGGAACAAATTTAAAAAGTAGGTCATAAATTAAAAACATGCTGGAGAAAAATAAAGAATCATTTGAATTTGAGGTAATATGGTTTTGAAGAAAACTTGCACAAACCATGGCATTCTTTACTAAATAAAAATCCCATGACACAAACAAGGTAGTTAAAGTTACAAGTGATATTTTAAAATAATCTAGCATAAGTCTTTTATTTTAAAATGAACATTTCAACAGGTTCATCTCTGTCTTTATTTAGGTGAAATCTTATCTTGTGTCATGATCATAAGTACCGTAACCTATTAGGATTGTGGGGGCATCACATGTACTGCAGCCATAACAGCAGTGGTGTGTCTTGGGCAAAGCGCATCCCTCTTCAGGCAGATTTAAATTTTTCCCTTCTCCTAGATTGGCTGCCAATTTAGTTTGTACTACTATTTGCCCATAGCTGAGAGAAGAAGAGATAGATTCATACCTTTTCCCAAAGGTATTTGCAACTAAGTGAATATAACAAACTTAACTGTAAAATCAAACTCAGCTTTCTGATTTCTCAGTCTGACCCTCTATCCACAACATCAAGCATTCTATATAACAGAGCTCAAAATTAACATTGTTTCAAGGAAGGATAAAACTTTAGTTTTGAATGAATGATTAGTTTTGGGGTATGATACTAGGATAATATAAAATTGTTTAATTAAAATTATTAATTCTAAAAGTAACAAACATGGAAAATTTAATCATTATGAGAGGCAGGTAATTGTTAAAGAAAAATTGTTAATAAAGTTTTTAAAGAAATTTTAAATTGTGAATACTTGGAATGTGTTTTCTTATTTATATAAAAAATTAATGCATAGAGCACAATTCTTAGTCTGATAAAAGGTATTTTGAGTATGAAAATTAATAAGAACATTTCCATGTAAATCAATTTGATTTAACAGAAATGTTTAAATAAAAATAAAGTTGTCATTTTTATAAAAAATTACAGTAAAACTTCAGTTGTTTTTGTATTAATTCAGTTTTAAAACTTTAATATTGTTAACTTTTTAAATTTTTGTTAGAACCTGTACTACTTGCATTAAAAACAAATAAATGTTTAATGATTGAATAGATCAAACATTTACTTCCTAAACATTTTTAATGAAGCTTTTATTATGCTACTAACAATTATAATTAACAACAAATTTGAAAAAAAAAAAACATTTTTATTTCGAGATGTTTCTGGGATGATGGTAAAAATGGTAAATCTGGAGTCCTGCCATGTAGACTTACTTCCTGTAGATCTGTTAGCTGCTACAATGAACTATGTTTTATTACACATAAAAAATGCACAGAATTTGCATCATCTTGAATATTTTTCTATGTTCTATGAAGTTTTTTTGCTGACTATATTAATTTCTACAATGAAAATCCTTGTTATTATGCTGATTCCTTTAGCTTCTGTATTTTCCATTAGGATTCTTTGTCAGTTATAATAACTGTCTGCAATATCCCACAATGAAATGGAGCTATAACAATTTGCACCAGATAAAATTTCAGCTGAAGAAGAAAATAAACTAGTTGAAATAAGGCAACAGAAAAAAAAAAAATTAAATAACTCATCACAAAATTTCAGTTATTTCTTCTGGCATTGTGCATCATATAAATAAATTAACAAACTATAGATGCACTAAAATAATGTTGCAATAAAAAAGTTTAATTTTAACTGCCTGAAAGAAAAACAAATCAGAACTGGTAAAAATATGAATCAGGATTGATGCTTACCTTCATCTTTTTATAAAGCCCATAATTAAGAACCAGACAATGTGTCAATGCTATCCTATGAGGTTTCATAGGATGGCTGGGACCTAAAATAAAAGCGAGAGAAATAATAATATTAATATTATTAATAATAATATGTACCTTTCATAATCATTAATTTCAATGTTTAAAAAACATTTATAATTTACTATTCATTAAATTTTTAATCATAATGAGTTTTTTGTTGAAATTTTACTGGTATCCTAAAAGTAAACTAATTTTTCTCTAATTCTTTGGTCTAAGAAATTTATATCATATAATGTTGATGTAAAAGCTACCAGAACTATCTTTTCACAATGTTAGGGAAATAATAGAAAAGTTGTTGAAGTTTTATCAGCTCTTTATTGCTTGTGTGCATATTCTTTAAGAATTGATTGTGAAAACTCATGATTGTACCTATTTTGTTAAACACCATGGCTGTAAAAACAAAAGAAAATCACATTCAATGCTTTTTAATCTAGAAAAAAGGGATGTGAAAACTAAGCAATATATCACAGATGCTTACGTCTCAACTATTTTGTGAAGTTGAAGATTTTGAGTTCAAAGATAAATAAAGAACATTGTGAAAAACTCAAAACTTAAAAGCTAATGAATTGGAAAAACCTTTAAGGGATGCAGTGGAAACAAACTTGTTGAAAATCAGTTAATTCATTTGAATAAGATATTGGAAGAAAAATTATTCTCTGAACAAGGATATTGGTTTTCCTGCATGAAGATGCTCGTACTCCCATTACAGCAAAAGGTCATGCATACAAATTGTGTTTCCACTTGTGGCATATTCTCTAGATGTGTCACCTTCACACTATTTCCTTTCCTTATAGACAAACACTTGTTTTGTTCCATGCAACACATTTTGAGTGACCAATCATGTCAACAATTTCAAGATATAAATTAAAATAAAACTTATTTACATTATTTACATGTGGACTATTGCCCTCATTAATCCACTAAGATTTGTAGGTGCAGAATCTTGTATGTGAATAGACACTCCACTATGTCCCATAAATGCTCAATTGGGCTCATGTCACGCAAGCATTTGCTGATAATTCTAAAAATGCCCCTCAAACCAATTCTGGGCAACTTGTGTCTTAGAACATGGTGCATTATGCTGCTAGAATAACTCGTTAGGTGTATGGAGTTTATGAATAGGTGCAAAAGGTCATAGCCGTCATTAATCAATGACATGTTTAAGCAAATCAGCAGATCCAACCTATATCACATGATCATGCCCCACACCATTATGGAATCACCACCAGTCTTCACAACTGGAGTTCCTTGCCTCATGGAGTCTGCACCACACCAAAACATGACCATCGACCTGTAACAAATGAAATCATGATTAAGTAGACCATTTTACATACATTGACAGTCCTCTGGAACTCAATTAGTGTGATCTCACAAGCCCAAATGCGACACGGTGTCCAGTGTTAACAGGGACACCCTAGTGGTTCTTCTGCTCCCATCATGTATTTCTAGTATACATGTAACAGTGTAGACTGAAGATTTTCAATAATAGCAATGTCCTATCTGTCTGGCATCCACTATCATTACCCTTTTGAACTTCAATAAATCATTTCACCTTGCCATGAACATCTTAGCCAGTATTCACACTGAACTCATGAGATGTCAGTGCACAGCCTGGCCATTTCTCAGTCAAGATATGGTGGTGCAGCCTAACATTACTTACTGCTATCCCAGGACTTCTGGCATGTGTGTATGTGTGTGTGTGTATATATCATAGCTGTCTGCTTGTTATATAAGCATGGCTATCAAGGACTTTTGAAATTAATTTGTTATTGTTGGTCATGAGATTGGAAGTGATTTTTGAAGTCAACAAGTGTCTTACTTCTTCATAGATGTCTGTCTATATTTCTGAGATGAGGTATTATGTACATTATTCGGACTATTGTCCTCATTTTTGTCGCCATATTTATCACAACGTTTCGGCCGTTGTACGCTCCGGCCTTCTTCAGGTGGTTGGAATTTCGAACCAACGCCTTTATCCACAGTGGATAAAGGCATTGGTTAGATCCAGTAACAGGACCCAAAGAGTGTGAGTTCAATACCCGGTTAAGGCAGTGGAGAACTTTCAGAGGGAAATTAGCAGGAGATAACTGATAACTGACATCCATCAAACATGGCACGTAGAACTAGAACAGTCTACCCCAGTGAGCAAAATAAAAGGTTTAGTTCGAAATTCCAACCACCTGAAGAAGGCCGGAGCATAAAATGGCTGAAACATTGTGATAAATATGGCAACAAAGATGAGGACAATAGTCTAAATAATGTAAATAATTCTCCATAGATATAACAAACAAAATCTTTCCTTTGTAGCATTTGTCAAGATCAGGTACCCAGTATACACACATACAATATATGCTACATGTAGGTACTGCCAAAGAAAAGCAATACCTAAAGTTTAAAATGAATTTTTAAAAATTAAAACTCTTTCTTGAAGCTTTTATTTTAGTTTAATTTCAGATTAAATTTAATATTTCCAATAAGCAAAATACTTTGCTGTGTTTCAAAACAAATTTAAATTGACTGGAATGATTTTTTTTTTAAATTACTAAAAAAATCTGTCAACACAATGTAATTCTCTTTATTAGAAAATCTTTCAAAAATAAAATACATTTTTCTGAAACCTCATTTGAGAAAGATTAGCTGGTTTAAAGTTTAATTAATCTGATTTGAAACAAATATTACTTACTTTTAGTTTAAAATATCACAGAAAAGTGGGTGTTTTCATGCGATGTTGACAACTATCTCGATAGACTTATGCTTGGGAATTTTTTCTACATGCAAAATAACAGTAAAAATTATAATTCTTTAACTACCCAGTAAACTTAAAAATTTAGGAAAATATTCTAAGTAATCTAATATTTTATTGAATTTTGGACACTTTGGCTTTAAATTTACTATAGTTACCATTTTATTTTCTGATAATATGTATAAACTCTATATATACAAAATTTGGCATGTTTATATGCACTCAAAAAAATTCAAAACTCTTTTTAAAATACTGGGGGTGGGTGCTGAATTGTAGTAGGCTTTTCCAATCAGGATTAGCTAAAATATAGTTTTTACTTAATAACAATATCACCTAACCACTACAAATTAATACAGAATTTTAAGATTTAAAACTTTATAAATTATTCTATGATTATGATTCCTCAAAAAAAATTTTTTTTAAGACAATAGTGTCTATATCTTATTTATAAAAACAAGTAAAAGTTTTTCTAATTAAATAATATCTTCATTTTATTGCATTTTTTATTTTACAATTCAGGGCAGAGTCTCTGTAACTGGGAATTCTCTTTTAAAAAAAGAAATTGATTTACATTCTCTACGGACTTATATTTTTCAAAATTTCATAAAATTAAATAGGTAGGGGGTAACAGATGTAAAAGAAAATATTTTCTAAGAAAGAAACATTTCTAAAATAATTTCATTCATTTGTGAATAAGTCCTGAAAGTTTTATTAAAATCTGACAGATGGATCCTCTTGCTCAATAACCAAGAGATATGAAAACAATTTTTTTAGTCATAAATTTATAAAAATTTACTAAATTGTAAAAATATGTGAACCAACTATAATGAAATCTTCATTTACCATTTTATAAAGTTCAAATTGATTGACAATTAGTTGATGTTTTGCTGACTTCTTAAAAGAACTAAATTCACCAGGTTTGCTAGTTGTTCTAGTCAAGGTGCTTTGTATTTACTCTTCATTTAAGATTTCTTCATCAGCCAGTACTTGGCTGGGAATAAATAATCTATTGGATTTTCTTGGAATTTTTAGAAAACAATTCAAAAGATTTGTTCAAAATTGTTTTTACAAAAAGAGTAGGAGTGGGGACCTATAATTGCTGGAGTTTCAGACCTTGGATTTCTATTGATTAGGTATCCTTGAACCTAGATAAAAGATAATATAAAAATTGGGAAATTAAAACAAAAAGTAATATGCGATATAAAATAATTTAAGAAGAAAATGATATCCAGAAATATCATGTTTATTTAAATTTTGTTGTTCATAGATATTTTTATAAAATTATAAATAAAAAACTTGTTTTCATAGACATTTATTGATAAAATGGTAAATAATAAATATTGCACATAATTAACTAACATATTTGGAAAATTTTGCAGATTTTTATAAATTTTTGAATAAAGTTTTTTTCAAATTTATTTCTTTATAAAATTATAAATAATAAATTTTTTATAAAATGGTAAATAATATATACGTACTTGTTCACATATTTTTATAACCTTGTAAATAAGCATTGCCAAAGGAGTCTCAGTAGTATACAGTAATTGCAAGGTCAACAGAAAAATCATCCTTTTTGAAACACTGTTTTTTTTTTTTTGGACACAACAGTTAAATTTTGCTATTCAACATCTATTGTCCTATTATTAATATAATAAAACCAGAAGCATCACTTTCAGAACTTACCTTGTATATCTACACTCATTATAGTGGATTTTACAACAAAAAATGTCAAAACGATATAAAAAAAAACCCAGATAATTTCATTACAAAAATTGGAGTCAAATAGACTTTATCTTTTAAGAATTATTGATTTTAGCTGCAATTTCTTTTTGAATCAGCAACCTTAAAATATTGTATTGATATTCAGAAAGATAACTTTTAGAAGGACAATGTTACAGTTAGTGTTTTCCTGAAGATATTTTTTAACAATTCCTTTCAATTTTGTTAAATATTTTTTCATGGGATTAATTATTAGCAAAAAAAGACATATTTGGGTTTTCCTCAGATTTTTTGCTTTTTTTTTTAAATAGATGTGTTGTCGATTCTAATGATATTTTTATTGAAAATCTTTTTGGAGAAAACTATTAAAAGTAATATGAGAATATTTTTGTGCTTCAATGTTAAAAAATATCAAAAGCAGTAATTAAGATTAGCTCCTCTGGTTGATGGGGGATTCAAAACTGAGTTGCCAAAAGTCATATATGTAAAGATAAGAGTAGGTGTTGTTACAGGAACTTGATGTCATGGAAATGCTCTGGGCCATATTCAGTATGAACAGCAGCTAAGCCACACATGGCAAGGACTTGAGTATCATCAGAGTTCAAACAAGGATTAGTGGTGGGTATCAGATAGATGGAACATTTCCATTAGACTTTGGAGTATTGGCAAAGTGTGGTATGATCCTGTGAGTCATGGTTCCAGTTGTTTCAGGTTGGTGATAAGATTTAGGTGTGGTACAGACTCCATGAGGCCATAGAACCCAATTGTCAAAAAGGAACCATGTAGGCTGGTTCCATCATGGTGTAGGGTGTGTTCAGGTATCACTGGTTGGGTTTGATGGTCTGTCTAAACATGAAAATGGGCTATTCAAGCAAGATAATGTACTGTCATTGGGCCCAAGTTGCCCAGAATTGGTTTGAGAAGCATTCTGGAAATGTCAAACATATGGTGTGACCACCATATTTGCTCAGCATGAATCCAATTAAGCATTTATCTTCTATAAAGATCCATATGAACCATTTCCAGTTAATTCATTCTTTAATCCTCATATAATAAAATAATAAATCAAAATTATTCACTGCAAAGAAATCTTTTGCCATAAATCAGAACAATTGTATTGTTTTATTTAATTTGAACTATGATTTTAGCATTCATTTAGACCAAATTTAAAAATACCAGAAATTCTTATAACATTCAGAGTTCCAAATGTGAAAATGATTTTCATTATAAATATTTGATTTCGAAAAAGTTGTCAGTCAAGTTTCTGGGAGTCTAACAAATCTAAATTATTCAGATTGCTTAATATTGTAAGTAAAATACACACTTTTTGCAATAACCTATCTAAACTATCAAAATTATGGATGATACATATTTATGTCTGTTGTGTATGAAACTATTTCCAGTTAATTCCTTCTTTAATCCTCATATAATAAAATAATAAACCAAAATTATTTTCATTATTTTTTATGAATAATTTGATAAATTCATTGTCAGTATTGATATTTACTAAATTTAACTCGCTTTGACATAAAACTAGAATAATAATGAGGAATAAATTTATTACACTCTAGGGGTTCTTTAAGATTAGTACATTAAATTAGAAGTTGTAAACTTTTACATTCCTTTAATATTTTCAAAAACTTGGTTTTTCATACAGAAATTTTACCATCCACAAAGTCATGCTTCAATAATTATATGTTTCAAACATTTTTTTCATAATTACACTAAGATTTTGCAAAATAATTTTTCAAATGTCAAATATGGTTGATACCTGTTTTGATTAGCTTTTGGTTCTTGGGATGATTTATTAATATTTTTTTAATATTCTAAAGTTCATAACAATGTACCAGTATTGTTTATTTACTTAAATAAACATGAAACTTTTCAAAAATATCTTATCTTTAATAGTGGTATTATTAATTACCAGAAAAAAAAATCAAGGCATTTGGCATCATCAAACAAAATGTAAAATAAAATTGAAACCTAAAACCATTAAAAAAAGAAAAATTAGTGAAACTGGACCCATAAACTAAAATCTCAACAAAGAAGACATGCTAAAAACACTGAAAGATCATGTGAAAATGGAATAACCAATAAATTTTCCAAAATAATTTTAAAATTGAAAGCGGGTAATAATGGAAAGAAAAAGCAGCGATATTGGAACGTGATCAGAAAATGGGGGATCAGTTTCATGTAGACAAACAAAACTACACGAATGTTTCGTTCGTTTGATTTTTAATTATTTTTGAGATTAGCAAATATTTATCTTAAACTTTTCTTAAAACTACATTAGGTATGCCCGTAAAATGAAAAAAGAACGAAAATTAAAAAAAAAAAACAATGCTACATTCATCCCCCATTTTGAGTTCGCTTTTCTTTCGTATATAATTCTCTATCTTGAGAAAAGTTAAGAAAGCATAAAATGCATGGATGTGTAGGATATATAACAAATGGTTTAATTAATTCAAACAGCACTTCTTTTCCCGTGAAGTTATTATTACCTACCATAGTGAAAATTTCCTACGTCAGGATCATAAAAATAAGCGACAGTGGGATTCGCCATTTTGTTTTTCTTCCGGTATAAAATCAGACTTCAAGCTTTAGAGAGCTCTATTTTTTTTTAATGGGCTCTGCTTCTTTTTCGGTCTATTGTAAAAATAAAATTGAAATGTCATTCCTAACATTAAGTTTTAAGGATTTGAAGGTATTTTCTTAATAATCATCTTATCGAGTTTAAATAACAATTACATTTCTTGAAAGAAAATAAGTGCACTAATAAATAACTGTCATGAAAGACAAATTTTAAGTATCATTGAGATTAAAAAATCAATCTTACAGTGCACACGCGCGTGTGTGCGCACATGCATACATACATACATGCATACATACATTATATTTATTGAAAGATTTCAATAAATATAATTTTGACTTTGCATATCATAATTTCCGAGCCTCAACCAGAACAGTTTTAAATTTTTATTATAGGTTTAGTTTTCTTGTATAATAAAATATTTTCATGCCAACACCCTCTAAGCTTTTGGTCTGACTCCAAAATAATGAATAGCTTGTATCATTAGCTCTGGTCAAACTGGGACTGTCCCAGTTTGACCAGAGCTGTCACAGCCAAACTGAGACATATTGTAAGCCTAATTTTGACTTCTCTTTATGATTGCATAAAAATTTAAATTTGTTTTTTTTATTTCATTTTACTTCTACAAAATTATTTTGATGCTTGAAGTGTTTGTGTATGATATATTCAATATACTCTTTGCATATGATACTTACAAATTTTACGAGTTCATTTCATTGATCAAGAAGTATGAAAATTTAAAAAGAATATAATATCTGGAATGTTGATATTAATTTTCAGATATGAAAATTTTTATTTAAAATATCTGAATGTTATTTTGTGGTAATGAATAATGATATAACAGTGAATTGATGTTACATACCTCTCCTGGTTTTATTTAAAAATATCTTAAATTCTGAGATTAATTATTGTTATTTTTCAATCATTTATTCATTCATATTAATATGTTATATATATTTTTCTACAATGATATTCACGCTTTACAAGACCCTAGAACCCCTCAAGGTAGAGGGTTACAGAATGAGAATTTATGCAGATATGTGGGTGAGGGGAATCAGTTAACCCTTGACTTGAACAGATTAAGATTGTAGTTATTGGGGAAGCATCCTCTTGGGAGTCATTTCCATAAAGCAGCAGTTCATGGGAAGAAACTGCACAAGTGGAAATTACATCTCACCAATGGAATACAAAGGGTTGTTCACTGTAATGGGCATGGCACAGCAGGTCTTAACTATGAAGTTTAGAACTGGTAGAACTAAGGAATGTAGTTCATCTGAGCACTTTCCATGGAAATAGCAATAGAGCAACGAGAGGCTTGTAACATTTCATCTATGGGAAAGATGTTGTAAGGTCAAAAATAATTCATCTCCTTTGTTAAGGAGATGCTTTTGGATTCTATTGAGACTGGAAAGTGAAGGCTGAGCAGCTCCCACCTATATACAGTGATGCACAAAAGTAAGTGAAAAGATAATATTAACAAAAATTGTCTGTTTTTTTCCCAAATAATCAACAAAACTTAATTAAACTATATATTCATTAAGAAAAATATTTATTAAATGAATTACAACCACTTTAAAAAAAAGAATTATCAAGCTGGGATAAAAATATTAATTAAAATTTAAGATGTGCAAAACATTTAATATTTGGTGATGCCTCCTTTTGAGTCACATTGACCAGTTTTTTATTGTTGTTTTTGTTGTTTTTGTAACATCAACATTTGAATCATGATAACTTTTAGTTCTTCCATTTTGCTGTACTCCGCTGAATATTTTATAGATTAATTTTTGAATAACTTCACCTGGTGATTTCTTTGTAGTCCTACAAATATGACGTCTCTTTGTTGAAGTGGTAAATATTAAACTATATATTACTGAATAATCCTATTACAACATGTAGGTTACGTATATTTTATTTTTTCAAAGTCTTATAAAATATCTACCTCCTTCTACCACACCCTGATGACTGTAGATGTCCACACAGATCTGCATTGACACTAAAACATACATACTTCTTTCACTCACTTTGAATTTGAAGCAAGGTGAGTGCTACATTTGAATACATATACATATGTATATACATTCTCCCAGACTATTTCTCATATGCACCAGGACATTTACATTTGAACCTCAAAGTTATCACTCTATCCTTCTGTATATATATTGTGTTGTATTAAAATTTATTTTGTATATATTAACACTTTATATATTTCTTTCAATTCATACACAGAGGCCACAAGGATTTATGATGGAAACAGGCATTGTCATAAGATAACATCCATTACACACCATAGACTTCCACAAACCAAATTTGATTTATTTAGATTAGAAACTGTAGAAAAATGAAATAAAATCAATAAATAAATCAATAATCAATAAATAATAAAAAGAAATAAATTTTCCCATGATGCTAAGAGTAAAGGAACCACAAATATGATTACCCCACTTGGTTTGGAAAGATGTTGTTAGGTGGCATTGTTGAAGCCGATAAAAAAGGCTAACATTTCCTGCCTAACTCTCATTCTCATCTTTGCTTCAAGATGTGAACCATGTGCCAATTACATTAACACTTGGGAATGTTAGTTTCCTTGATCTACTGATTACAATAAATATAAAACAAATGACAATGCATGTATTAACAAAAAGTATTATAGGTGTAGACAATTGCAATGAAAGGAAAAAACATCAAAACAAGTTATAAGAAGAATGTGCTTGTTTGTATGTGCATGTAACAAGTGTGTGTGTGATAGATATGTGTGTATATGCATGTATGTGTGAGAGAGTAAAAAAGTCAAAGGAGTGTGGTGGATTCCCTGGAGCCCTCCCTCTCATGATGTGAAACAGCTTGAACGCCTCGAATTGGTCACAAGAGGCCCACTAACATTTTTGAATTAAAGACGTGAAATCTGACAGGTAAAACAAAATGGACAATAGAACAAGGATATGTAAGATTAATACAAAGTTTATTTACAAAGCAGTTGCCATGGGTTAGATAGTCTGGTAATTGAAAAGTGGTTCTGGTTGTGTCAACGGTTGGAAGTTGAGATGCGGTCATTCCAGTCATTTCAACGGTTGGAATGTTGATGTGCAGGCATTGCGTACATTCTGGTCGAGGCCAGTGTCGAAACCTCCCATACTTATTATAACTGATAGTATATGGGAAAGGTTATTTAAGTCAAAGTTAAGGGAAGTTGATTGCTGCTGATTGTCACAGGTGATCCCTGCACATTGTTGTTGGACAATCACTGGTCACTGTAGGTGATTGCTGCTGGCCGTTGCAGATGACCACTGCTAGACAATTGCTGCTGGTTGGCTGGTCAGGCTTCAGACTGGACTTGTTGGGCAGGAATGGGAAGCTGATGTGGCAATACAGTGCTGGCATTGTGACATTGTTGGGCATATCGAATGTCCGGTGCTGGCATTTCTGGTCAAGTCCAATGTCAAAAGGAGGTTTCATAGTAAATATAACCATAGTCTACAGGAAAGATGACGTGCAGGCAGCAAGTAGGGACAGAATGCTGAGAGTCAAAATGCACAAGAAGTAAGAATAGAAGTAAAAAGGAGGAAGAAAGACCCAACTAGTGTCCAGTTGACAGACAAAAAAAATGGGAACATAATAATATGCAGCCCATCCAGGCTGAGGGTCACTGAACTTTGCGAGTAGTTGCCATGTTATATTAAGGGAGGCTAACAACAGCTGCAGGTCTTGCAAAATACTAAAAATCTCAAGGAAAAATAAGTTGAGATTTGCTATGAAAGAGATGTTAGACATTTTCATGACGGTCGTCCTCGATTATAGAATCCAGAGGTTGGCAGTGAATATTTCGGAGACAGTAGGAAAGTGTACTTTAGGTTCACAGTGGATATCGCAACAGAGCGTAGTTCTTCCGTCTATCATGGTTGCCTCACAAGTTGGCTTTGGTCAAAGATGGCCGCCTTTATACATGACGGATACAGTGTTCTGCGGCTCCTGATTGGTTAATCTTCTATTGGTAGACTATAAAGGGAAATAAGTCATTTTGACTCGCTCACTAGTTATATACAGTATAAAAAAAAAGAAAGGAAACATTCCAGCAGATAGGAGCCTCCCTCCTGCCCTATCTTGATTTCCACTCCCTCCTACCACTCCCACACCTCCGAACACACCTACTCCTACTGCTATAGATCCTTCAACACCCCCAGATAGGGGGGAAAAGAAAAAGAGAATTTTTCGGAAAGTCGAAGAGATTTGCAGGGTGGACAAGGGCGAGATGGATAAAAACCTTTCCGCCCGAAAAAGATCTCTATTAGGACCTCTACTTAAGCTGTCCTCCGTCGATGGCAAGTCGGTAGAGGACCCAAGAAATTTTCCTCGTGCCCCGGGAGTTATTGGGCTTATCCAGGACACCGGAAAACACATGAAAGTATGGACCCATCTCTTTGAGGCCAGAGAGGCCTTCCCAGAGATAAGAATGATCGAGTTAGGGTCCCAAGACCTGAAAAAAATGCACAATTTTTGTGCAGGGAGGGTCCCCGTACGTCTCCATCCATCACTATATAGGGCCCTAAAACTAATTTCCCCACGGACGTCGGCGGAATTGTCTCAGAGGGACGGATGACGTCGGAGTTAGGAGTGGGGAGCCTGGGACAATCCGTCGGGGTCCTTTCAGCCGCAGATTTCCGTCCCGTATGTGTTTAGGTTAGGGGGAGAATGTGGACGTGGGCTCTTAGTTGATCTTCTGACAAGGTGGTTAGCTACCTTGACAGAATGTTAGTTAGAAGAGCCGACATAGATCTACTGGATTGCCCTACGTTCCACTGGGTAGGCTACGCGGACCACAAACTCGTTTGTGCCCGGGTGGCGTTAGACCATAGGCCTAGAATGGCTGGGTACTGGAAGTTCAATCTGTCTTTACTGGAGAGGAGGGACTTCCAGGAACAGCTAACTAGATTAGTGCAGCGGGAGCTAGTGGGGGCGGTTATCGGGAATAAGTGGTG